CAAATTGCCTAGAGGGCCGCACCCAGAGAGTGGTGGTGGATGGGTCATTTTTGACCTGCAGGGATGTGGGCAGTGGAGTACCCCAGGGCTCGGTCCTTGGGCCCACACTGTTCAACATCTTTGTCAATGACTTGAACAAGGGGGTGAAAAGCACCTTGTTCAAATTTGCGGATGACACTAAGATGTGGGGAGAGGTGGGCATGCTAGAAGGGAGGGACAGGCTACAACTAGATCTGGACAGGTTACAGGGGTGGGTGGATGAGAATAGGATAGGATTCAATACTGACAAGTGCAGGGCACTGGACCTAGGGACAAAGAACCAGCAGCACACCTATAGGCTGGGGAACTTCCTTCTCGTCAGCACAGAGGCAGAAAGGGATCTTGGAGTCATTATTGATTCCAAGATGCATGTGGGCCACCAATGTGAGGTGGTAAGTCTAACTGCACCTTGTCATGCAGCCACTGATATATCATGAGCAGGTCCAGGGAGGTGATCCTCCCCCTCTCTGTGACATTGGTCAGGCCGCAGTTGGAGTACTGCATCCAGTTCTGGGGGCAACACTTCAGGAGGGATGTGGCCAGCATTGAGAGGGTCCAAAGGAGGGCCACTCACATGATCAGGGGGCTGCAGAGCAGGCCCTATAAGGGGAGGCTACGGGACCTGAACCTGTTCAGCCTCCACAAGAGAAGGCTGAGAGGGGATCTGGTGGCTGTCTATAAACTTACCAGGGGGTACCAGCAGGGAATGGGAGAGACCCTGTTCCCCCAGGCACTACCCAGAGTAACTAGAAATAATGGCCACAAGTTGATTGAGAGTAGGTTCAGGCTAGACATCAGGAGGCACTACTTCACAGTCAGGGTGGCTGGGATCTGGAACCAACTTCCAAGGGAAGTGGTGCTCCCTTCTACCTTGGGGGTCTTCAAAAGGAGGCTAGATAATGGTTAGACCCCAGTACTCTTTCCTGCCATGGCAGGGGGTTGGACTTGATGATCTGCTCAGGTCCCTTCTGACCCTACCAACTATGAAACTATTTCACCTAAGCTTCTTTCTAACTAGGGTTGTTGTTACATGTTACAATTTGCATGTGCTAACTCTAAGGGATGTTAGGTGGTAGCAGTGGCAACATGTAGGGGGTGCATGTGAGAGTGTCGGTGCACCCTCTTGACTGGCCGTGCTCGCTACTTAGGCAATGGGCAGGGGAGGCAGGCAGAAGCGCCAGTGCCCCCTCTGCAAGCGCCAGCCGATCACTACAGCCACTCCCAGAAGCGGCCGCAGCCACTCC